GAATTGTTATTCATTATCATTAGGGCCTTTTCTGAACATGTGGGGTTGGCTACATGAATCATGGTCTGTAATTCTGTCCTATCAAAGTCCACACCTTTAGTGAAGCCATAAGTCCCCATATCTTTTCTCATTACTTCCAGCCATGTCTTTTTGGGCCTTCCTCTTGCCCTTTTTGAGCATTCTTTAGGATTCATAGAAAGTTTTGGCAAAGTGTCACGTTGGCTGCCTACCTAACACAACCCACCTCCTTTGCTCAGGCTTGGGAGAGGTAAAGTTTGAGGTCCTCACCCTTCTTAGACCATAAATAGAAAATTATTATTATTATTATTATTATTATTTTTATGTATGAAAGGATTTTGAAGCGAGATTCACAAATGCATCCAATTTTGAGGCAATGTAAGCTATTGATCCCAGTGTTTTAAAATGCGGGATGCGGCCAAAAGTGGTGGGGGGGACCGATGCGGTTTGGATGGGGGTGCATCGCGACGATGAGGTCATTAAATATAAAAAAATTCGAAATCTAAAAAAATAGGTTAATACATAGAAAAATACATGGATGTGATATATGTGATATTAGGTATTTTAGTTTAATAATTAACTCCAAAAATATTAGTTGTCGGATATTCTGTATCCATTATCTCTTGATAGAAACTAGAAACTAGCTTCATAAAACATTCAAACAATCAACAACCATAAGCACAAATTTGCAACCACAAACTTTAAAGTTACAAAATAGTGATACTACAAACAAAAAGTCCATGTCTCCATGAAGATTAAAGAATAAAGAGTTTTGAAGTCATGCTCAAGAAGAGTTAATAATTAATACAATCATCCATTCATCATAGAAGTTATCTTGAGAGACAATTTTGAAGTCAATTTTTCAAATATTAATCAGAGAAGTTATCTTGAGAGTTGTCATGTGCATCATCAATATCATCCTCGGCGGCCTCCACGTATTCTTCTTCCTCGGTCTCCTCTGAGTCAACCTCCTCCTCCTCGACCTCTGGAGCTTATGTGCGAGTACGACTAGACCCGCTCTTCTACTCCTTTGTACTCTAGTGTTAGGTTGATCTTCTTCATTAGCCCCTGTTGCTAGCTCGACATCGAGCCATGTAAGATCCTCACCATCAAACACACACTCTAGTCTTTGATCCATGGTCCACTCACTTGTGGAATCACCATCAACTTCATACAATTGAATAGGGTTGAGCTTCATGCGATTTTCATACCTCTCCCTGAGTCGCTCGTTATACTGCACATAAACCAAATCATTCAACTTTTTCTGCTCCAACCTATTTCCTTTTGTTGTATGGAGTTGTGGTAGAAAATTGAAATTAGATAAATTAGATTTTATATTAGAAAATTGAAATTTGAAATTGAAATTCAAGAAATAAGGATTAAGGAATAAGGAGTTAAGGACTTACATGTTCAAATGCACTTCAATTGCGTTCACAACTAGATGAGCTACTTGTGAGATTCAACATTCGAATAGCGAGATGTTGTAAATTTGGTGTCTCGCTTCCATATAATGCCCATCATGTAGCTGTATAATACTTTATAATTTAGATTATAATATAGATAAAAATTAAGGGTAAACAAATAAGCAATGGAACTATGCATAAAGTCATAAACAGGTAAGGGTACTTTTGGCCTTTACCTGGATCTGTAGTGTCCCTATTTCGAGTAGAAATATCTCTCTCAAAGTTTCCCAAGGCTAATTTGAACTTAATCAATTCATGGCTCTGGATCTCATCCTGGATATCTTTGTCAGGCACCATCCTCTCAAGCACATTTAAGACCCACCATTTATTACACGATCTTACTCAATGAATGGGTGCTTGTAGTGAAGCGATGGGTTTAGAAAGTAATCGGCTGAATGGAGGTGCCTGTGAAGCTGGGCATCCCATCTCTTATCAATAATTTCAAGTGTAGCCTTGCACATATTTTCATCATCCTTTAAAACATTTTTTATCTCTGCTCTTGCCCTAGTTATTGTCTCATGTATGTAGCCCATGGCGGGCTTCACATCACCATCAACCAATCAAAGTACTCTCACTAAAGGGCGAGCCACCTCCAATGCAAGAATTATTTGACTCCAAAAAGATGTATTCAAAATAATTTTTTCAACCTTTCTCCCATCCTTATGCTTTGACCATTTACTTTGACTTCATTGCTCTGAAGCAAACATGGTCCTCAAGGCACTTTTTTGCTTGGTTAGGCTTCGAAGAGTGAGAAATGACGTGGCAATCTAGTGATACCCGGTCTCACTAATTCTCTCTTAAAAAATCTCATCATGCTCAGTAATACGGTGTGATTGTAAATGAATCCAACAACAAACATAGCTCTTGAAATCATCACACTAAATAAAGATGTTGTACCCATTTCCTTAAGCATAAGATTAACATAATGAGCTGCGCAAGGAGTCCAAAACTAGCTGCAACATAATTGACACTATTGTCAGTGACAATTTGTACCACATTTTTCTCTCCAACAAACTCTACAATCTCATCCATCAAGCCACATAAGTATGTAACATCATGTGAATTGTCTGAGGCATCAACAGACTTAACAAAAAAAGTACCTATTGGACAGTTAACGAAAAAATTAATGAATGCCCTTGACTGCCCATCGGACCAACCATCACACATAATAGTGGCCCCATATTTCTCCCACCCGTTTCTTTGAGAAATCTATTCATGTATTCTCTAATCTCCTTTTTTATTTCATCGGTAGCTTGTGGGCATGCTCTTATATTCCTAGAAATTCCGGTTAAGTATTCTTTTTGTCGAAAAATACCACCCATATAAGTATTTCCACAGAGCATGCAAAGAACACAATTTCTATCTTTCGGATTTTTTAGTTTGGTATATTTCCAAGCCGGATCCTTATTACTAGAAGATTGAGAAGAATACATTGCCCCAAAAATAAATATTACTGGTTTTTGAAGCAGTGCTCGATTTCTTCACGGCCTTTGAAACCCTCGATTTCTTGTCACAAATTCATCTAAACTTTCCCAAATCAACAACCAAAAGGTTCAAATCAAGATCCAAGTATCAAACAATCCCCAAATCCAAGATCTCAATGAAAAACAATTTCGCCTATTTTTTTTTTTTTGCTTGATTTGATCCCAAAAAAGCCACGAAAGTGGCTGTAAATGCTCGTTTAGGGGGTTTAATACCCCCAAACTATTTTTTCCAATTTTTGATGGTCAAAAAGACCATTTTGCCCATCCCCGAGGGGCACAATCGAAAATAACATTGTGGAACAGTTTGCGGCCAGATACGCTATGTGGCTCTGATGAGCTCTGTTGTGGCGCATATGCGCCTGCATACCTCCAAACCGCATATGCGGTCTTTTTCGATACGGTGTCCACCGTATACCGCCTGATGCGGTCGCATATGCTGCGATGCGGCCCCATCTTAAAGCACTATTTGAACGACCTCAAAAAGGCAGTTGCATGGAGAGAGAACAAAAGA